CTAGGGTTGCCCCTCCGCCCCTTTCCCTTACCGGAGGTCCGCCTGTGACCCCGACCTTTGCCTCCGATAAGAACTTCTTCAAAAGCCATATCAGTTAAGGACGTGAGGAAAGCAGTAATACCCCTACCATGCATACGGCGTCTGCGACCCCCTTTACCACGACCCTTTCCAAATTGTTTGAAATGTCGGCGTACTGCACGTCTCACCTTTCTGACTGGTTTCTTCATAAAGCGCCTCCAACGGCGTTTTGATTTGCGATAAGCCATAAAGGCGGCTTCCGCCCTTTGCTGTTCAGAAAGGTGAGTGTCATCCGCTGGATAGTCATTACCAGCAGAGACTATTCCATTGTGCTCATCGTCAGATGAGGTATCTGTGTCAGTGCCAGATTCAAACGGTGAGGGTGGCTGAGACCATTGAGCGGATGACTCCGCTTGGCCCCAGAGGGTTGTGCCCGAGGGCGGGCTTGCAGTGTAGGCGGCGCCTGGCGAGTAGTTCGACCAGGCGTTTGCCTCAGCTGCCTCTGCCGATGCCTGGCCGGTCTGCCCTAGAAGGGCAGTGGCCTCGTTGGGCATATCGGCTGGGTCAGCCCAGGGATTTGGCTCGCCAGGACCAGCGGGTGACCCCGCAGTCGTGGCGTAAACACCTGCATGTGAGTGGTGCCCTGTGAAGATACCCGCTATGTTACCAGGAGAGCGCTCGGCAACATGTCCGTAGTTCCTCATCCTGGTCAACAGCCTGTCATAGTCTGCTTGTGTTCGGGGCATCTGATGATTGAAGGGCTCGAGCAGGTGTTGGGCTCGTGACGCGCCAACGCCTAACGCTCTGAAAAGAATCAGCGTTAGGATCTGAAAGTTGGGGATGACAAAGCCAACAGAGTTGGCCTCGTCACGGGCCATCTCGAATCGAGCTAATACTGAGTCGATTCGCTCGCCCCTTTCGACGCGGAAGTCGATAAGGGCAGTGCCAGAGTTGAGCTGGCGCTCATCTTCCAGATTTTCAAATTTGGTGCTCAGTAAGTACAGTATGTAGGTTACTGCATCCGTTGGCTGTCCATTGACAGTTACACCATAATTGATGATCTGGGAGGGGACCTGCATGGCGATACGACGAGCCAGACCTTGAAGGCCTCGTTGTAGTGCTGCAGCTTGTTGTGGTGGTGTCATATTGCCACTCGTTACGTTTAACCATGCATGTACTTCGCGAACGTATTCGCGAAAAGGCGTAGTACCGGCAGGGTCCCATGAAGGGCCAGTAGTACGCGTGTCGTCCATCCCCTGCCGCATGTATCCCACAGCACATCCCATTATTATCCACAGAATGCCGAATATAGTTATCTTGATCCAATGCATGTGCATTTCGGCTTCGGTGATTGGTTTAGGCTGTGGTTTGTCAGGCTCTGGCGTAGTAGCCGTGAGGCGCCTGACTGGCACGGGATGCAGGTGGCCCCGCTGCGGGTAGCCCCGCAGGGTGACCACGTTCTCGATCGAGTTGCCGATTGGCATCTGGTGGAAGTCGGGAGTGAAGTAGCGCAGTGAAGTAGGAGAGAGCGTCTCGAGTTCGCGGGTTGCCCCGCTAGCTCGATCGCGGACTGGCTCCGCTCCTCGCAGAGCCGGCGCAACATGGTATTCCACCGTAGTAGTAGTCCACCAAGTTGTGCCGTGGATTACAGGAATCAGAGCGAGAGCCAGCCACACGAGAGTGTAGCCAGCTCCGCTACCAAGTCGAAAACAGGCTGGTAAGCTTAGGTATGTAGTCCGCCTTAGGCGCTCCCATATCCCAGGCTTTGGCTCATATCGCATGAGCAAGAGAGCGAGACGAAGCATGGGATCTGGAGTATAGAGTAAGATGGGCATCGTCAATGGAAAGGATGTTTTCCGATCTCAGATGCAAGTAGTGCGCCTCGGTGAGGCACAGTCACATATCATGCCGGGCCCGGCTTGAGCCAGGCACGGCAGCGGTACATGCTCGATTTATACCTCGCCTTTAACCTTCTCCGTTTAAAGTTGCGAACGCTGCCGCTGGGGCCTTCGGTGAGGCCCCCTGTAGGGCCACGACATGTGTGAGGGGTGTGCCCAAATGGGAGCGCGGCCGCCATGCGAACGTAGCCACTGGGGCCTTTTGTGGAGCTCCCTATGGGGCCACGGCGTGTGTGAGGGGTGTGCCGAAATGGATGCGACGCCGCCATGGGCACGCTGCCGCTGGGGCCTTCGGTGGAGCTCTTCTTGGGGCCACGACATGTGTGAATAGTGTGCCGAAATGAGTGCGGCCGCTGCCGCTGGGACATTCGGTGGAGCTCCATATGAGGCACGGGACGTGTGAGTGGAGTGTTCATGGGCGCGGGGCCGCCATGCGAACGCTGCCACGGAGGCCTGGGGTGGAGCCCTCTATGGGGCCACGAAGCGTGTGAGGGGTGTGCTGAAATGGAGCGGGGCCGCGATGCGAACGTTGCCGCTGGGGCCTTCGGTGGAGCTCCCCGTGGGGCCACGACATGTGTGAGGGGTGTGCCAAAATGGGAGCGGGGCCGCCATGCGAACGCTGCCACTGGGGCCTTCGGTCGACCTTATGGGGCCACGAAGCGTTGAAGGGTTTGCCGAGATGGGCACCGCAGGCTGAGCTGAGGTCGAGCAGGATGATGATGATGCTGATGATGATGATGACGATGATGCTGCTGCTGCTGATGATGATGATGATGATGCTGATGATGATGATGATGATCATGATGATCATGATGATGATGATGATGATGATGATGATGATGATGATGATGATGATGATGATGATGATGATGATGATGATGATGATGATGATGATTGATGATGATGATTGATGGTTGGTGATGATGATGAGGAGGAGGAGGAGGAGGAGGAAGGAAAGAAGGACGGAAGGAAGTAACGCGGGGCACTGTCTCTTCAAAGCGAGGGCCCAGCACCACAGGATGGTTAGAGGAACAAAGATCGTGGCGAAGGGCACAACCATATGCAGTTGTGAGCATCGCCGTGGTGTGTATCGCCTTCGGTGGATCTCCTGATGGGGCCACGACGCGTGTGAAAGGTGTACCAGAATGGGCTCGGGGCCGCCATGCGAACGCTTCCATTGGGGCCTTCGGTGGAGCTCCGTATGGGGCCACGACATGCGTGAGGGGTGTGCCGAAATGGGCGCGGGGGCGCTATGCGAACCTTGCCGTTGGGGCGTTCGGTGGAGCTCCCTATGGGGGCACGAAACGCTGTATTGGGTGCGCTGAACTGGTGGACACGCGACGGGCAGAATCAGGGATGGGAGGAGGGAGGAGGAGGAAGAGGAGGAGGAAGTGGAGGAGGGAGGAGGAAGAGAGGAGGAAGGAAGGAAGGAAGGAAGGAAGAAAGGAAGGCGGGGCGCTGTCTCTTCACAACGAGGGCCCAACGTCACAGGATGGCTGGGGGAGAAAACGGAAAATCAATGCATCTGGCCTCTTGGGGTCTTCTCGGGAGTGCTCTAGGGGCGTCCTGGAGGTTTCTTGGACAGTCTGGAGGGCGTGAAGGCGTTTTGAACCGATCGCTTGGCGATTTGTGACGCTCTTGGACCGTCTCGAGGGCCTCTTGGGGCACTCTTGGCCTGTCTTGGTATTTTCTGATGCCCAAGGACCCCCAGGGGGGATGCGTATCTGACCCTCCCGTACTCTCCCAGGATCCCCCTTCCCCCCCCCCGCCCCCACCCCGACGGGGGAGAGATCAAAGGGAAGGGGCTTCCCTTCCCTTCCCTTCGACTCGATGGCGACACTGCTAGATTTTTCTCTCGCTAACAAGCTTGGGGAGGAGGGCGCAGGGAAAGGGGACGACGGAGACGACTACTGACGGAGACGACGACTCGAACAGACAAGCCCTTCACACACGCCGACTGGGACGCCCAGCCCGCCCTTTCGACCTGCCCCTGGGTGCGACAGGGAGGACTTATATGGACTTATCTGTAAGGAAAAGGAAAGGAGAAGGAGGAAGTGGAGGTGGAGGTGGAGGAGGGGGAGGAGGAGGAGGAACAGGAGGAGGAGGAGGAGGAGGAGGAGGAAAAGGAAGAGGAGGACGATGATGAGGAGGAGGAAGAAGAAACGGAGGAGGAGGAGGAGGAGAAATCCGCGTAGGATGGTGATGTGGAGCAGGATATGTGGGCAGGAGAAGGAATATAAGTTTCTTTCGCTGCAGTCGGCCTCTCTCCGCCTCTCCTTTCCCCGTCGGCCGGCCCCTGCGAGTTTAGATCTGGTTCAATAGACTTGTGGGTTGCAATAGATTTGGGGCGTGCAATACTTTCTGGGGCGCGAATGTATTGTTGGATTTCCGCGTGCAGTGCAATACAATTCCCCGGCCCCTTTCAGCTGGTTTCCCTTTCCGGTCACCCAAAGCGAGGGCACCAGAGTGCTCCTCCGTCTCGCCCCCGCGGCCTGATCCGTGCCTCCTTTCCCAGCTGCCTCCCCCCCTTCTCCCTCTGCTCCCTGTGCTCCCTGTCCTCCCTCTCCCACCCATCCCCGCCGTCCCTTTCCTCCTTCTTCCCGCTCCCTCCTCTGCCTTCTCCTCCTCCGTCTCCCTGCTCCCTGCTCCCTCCCTCCCTTCCTTCTGCTATCTCCCCCTCTTCCCTCGTCCTCCTCGTCCGTTTCGCTCCTCCTCCCTACTCCTGCCCCCTCCCGCTCCCTGATCCTCCTGCCTCATCCCGCTTCTGCCTCTCTCCCCTCCAACCCTCCTCGCCCTTCCTCCCGCCTCCCTCTCCTCCTCCCTCCTCCTTCCCCTCTCGGCCCTCTTCCCTCCTGCTCCGCCTCTCCTTGTCCCTCCCCTTCCTCCCCCATATCGTCCTCCTTGCCTCCTCGTCCTCGTCCTCCTCCTCCTCCTCCTCCTCCTCCTCCTCCTCCTCCTCCTCCTCCTCCTCCCCCCCTCTCTCTTCCCTTTCTTCCCCTCCCTACCATCGTCCTCGCGGTAAGTATTCGTCTTCGTCCCCGCCGTTCTCCTCCCCGCCCTCCTCGAAGGCCCCCCGTCGCTCAGGATGGACGGCTACATGCGCAGGTGGCTCAGCTGCCTCGGGCTCCTGGAGGAGGACCTGCCGAACAGCGTGAACCTCACACTGCACGGCGGGGTCCACGGCTGCGGATGGAGACCCCGAGTAGAAGGCAGCGAAATTTGGCCACGGAGGAGGATGAGGCGGAGGAGGAGGAACAGTGCCCACCTAACCCTCACCGATGATGTTGCAATACCCTTCCCTCCAAGTTCCTTCTTCACAGGTGCCTACAAGGATTTGTTTCATGGCGAGAAATGCCCCGTTGGAGGACAACCGTCTGAAAATGTTCAGCAATACCAAAACACTAGCTCTGCAAATTCAGCGCATCGAATCAACATTACGATTGCGTCCTCACGATCCTGAGTCGAGCGGGACTTCAACACAACACAGCAGATCTACGTGACTGTCGCGCCCTGACATCCTAAATCGTGTCAGAACGCCATGTCTAGGACGTCAGCCATAAGAACCCTTGAACATCTTGTAAGCGGTCAAGACGAATGTGCGCGGCGCTAATGCGAGAGCCACACGTTGGAAACGGCCCGCCCTCCATCCGTGAAGCACTTCCAGGCTGTTTGGACAAATGTCCGCGGCCCTAAAGCGAGAACAACATTTTGAAAACCAGCCGCCGTCCATCCGTGAAGCTCCTGCACACTTTTAAGACCGATGTGCGTGGCGCTAAGGCGAGGGCCACATTTTGAAAACGACCCGCCCTCCATCCGTGAATGTGAGCTTTTCAAAACAAGTCTGCGCGGCGCTAAGACGAGAGCCACATGTTGAAAACGACTCGCCCTCCATCAGTGAAGCTGTTGCAATCGTAGACGTCCGGATCATAAATGATGAGGAAGACTCAGGTGAAACGCCCCGCCCGCCCTACCAACCCGCTTCGGGAAGCGACGGGGAGGAGTTGTTTAGAAGGAATAGGAATCGATGATGATGATGGTTCTGACGATGATCAGGAGGGGGAGGAGGAGAATGAGGAGGACGAGGAGGAAGAGGATTACGAAAAGGAGGATGACGAGGTGGCGTAGGAGTGAACGAAGGAAGAAGCGAGGATCATGGTCCCCAGGTCGATGACGAGAGGGACCTCCGCAAGAAGGGGTGGAGGAGCATGAGCAGGCGGACCCGCCACATGAAGGAGGATAATGGCTCTGATGAGTAATAGGAGAAGGAGGAGGAGGAGGTTCATTGCTGACAAAAGGTGATGAAGCGCGAATAGAAATTGGAATTAGGAGGGGTGATGGCAATTAGGGATTAAGAGGAGTGCGATGATATTGAATCTTATCACGAGGTAGGATGGCCCTATTCATGCGGCGGGATGGGACTGAAGACCATGAGGAATAGACTGGCCATCCAACCGAGGAAGGATGATGCGGACGGGTGAAGGACGAGGAGTGATGACGACGACGATGCTGAGAATGATGTTGACGATGATGGCGTTGATGGGGACGCTGACTATGTTGATGCCGATGATTGCGACGATGATGGTGGTGTCGTCGATGATGATGGCGATGACGATGGTGATGCTGATGATGATGGTGATGATGCTGCTGACGACGATGATGATGCTGATGATGATGCCAGTTATGACAATGATGCCGCTGCTGATGATGCTTCTGCTGGAGATGCTGATGATGGTGATGATGGTGATGCTTCTGCTGCTGATGATGATGATTTTGATGCTGATGGTGACGGTGATGACGACGATGATGAAGATGGTGATGACGATGATGATGATGTCGATTATGTTGTTGATGCTGAGTCTGATGATGATGCTGATTATGAGGAGGATTATGATGATGATGAGGATGATGATGATGGTGATGGTGGTGATGATGGTGATGATGATGATGGTGATTATGCTGCCGATGATGATGATTGTGATGCTGATGGTGATGGTGATGACGATGATAACGATGAAGATGGTGATGACGATGATGATGAAGATGATGATGCTGAGTTCGATGATGTGGTTGATGCTGAGTCTGATGATGATGATGATGATTTGATGATGCTGATTCTGATGATGGTGATGCTGATGATGGTGGTGATGATGCTGATGGTGGTGGTGATGATGGGAATGATGATGATGATGATCATGATGATGATGATGATGATGATGATGATGCTGATGATGATGATGATGATGATGACGATGACGATGACGATGACGATGACGATGATGATGATGATGATGATGATGATGATGATGATGATGGTGATGATGCTGATGATTTGAGTCTGGAACAAGTAATTCGTACGAACGCGATACGGCCTGTGTTATCTCCAACTGGCGGCCAGACATCGCCAAACACTTTACCGGCTAAACGTTTTTTCTGTAACAATTGCGATAACGGGCCATTTTTCGAAATTGCAATTCAAAATTTCACGCGTCAGATGCGCGGACGATTCCAGAACTGTTCGATAACATGTGGAGTTTTCGCTATTTGTTTGGCGCGTTGTTGCAGTGAAGAGGGCGTTTCATATGATATGATACGTTTCGGGTGACATCTGGCGTTTCTGTTTGTTAGTTGTTCCCACGTTGTTGCAGCGAAGAGGGCGTTTCATGCGATATGTTATGTGTCGGGTGACATCTGGCGTTTCCCTGGCTCTTTCGGGGGGGGGCAGGGAAACGCAGCGCAGGGAGTAGACAGCACACCCAGGGAAAGAGGGGTGAGGGGGAGGGAGAGGAGGAGGCGAGGGAGTGAGGGAAGGAGGGAGAGAGGGAGGGAGGGCGAGGGAGGGTCAGAACGCATCGAAGACTGTCCACGTGGGCACTGCCCGAACTTCCGAGGAGAGCCATCCGTAGCAATAGCGGTGGGGCAGCGGCGGCCAATCGACGCTCAAGATCGGTCTTCGGACCCTCCTGGGGGTCCGAGCTCACCAGTCTTCCGAGCCGTGTCCGGCCGCGGCGACGGGCCCCCCTCCGAAGGCCAGAGAGGCGACCCCTGGGGGGCGATGCGCAGAGGGTAGACAGCACACCCAGGGAAGGAAGGGGGGACTACAGGGGGGGGGAACAACCTCACACGCCTGGAGGCCCGCAAGGGGTCGGCGGATACGCTCCTCAGATTTCCAGCGTTATGAAGAAGGAACAATCCAAGGGTGAAGCAGTCTCTGGGCCCTCCTCCTCCCTCCTCCTCCCTCCTCCTCCTCCTCCTCCTCCTCCAAACCAAGAAGAAGGCCCCAGGATCGCCAACAAGACGGTTCAGGCCGAAAAGCCAGCCTGGGGAAGTTGTCGGGACTTCCAGGGACGGCGAAGGCCAGAGAGGCGACCCATGGGGGGGCGATGCGCAAAGGGTGGATAGGTGGATAGCACACCCAGGGAAGGAGGGCAGATAGCACACCCAGGGGTTTAGCGCAGCATTTGGCTTCAGCGCATGATCAGCTTCGGGGCAGGGAGTAGATAGCACACCCAGGGAAGGAGGGGGGAGGGGGAGGGGGGATCGGGGGGGAGGGGGGGAGGGCGTGAGAGAGAGCGAGAGATAGAGAGAGAGAGAGAGAGAAAGAAAGACCCCTGGCGGCTCTTCGGCGGCCTTCGGAGGCCCTCGGCGGCCTTCTGGCGGCGCTCTGGCGGCCCTCGGCGGCCCTCGGTGGCCCTCGGTGGCCTGGGCAGCGGCTCGTCGTCGTCGTCGTCGTCGTCGTCGTCGTCGTCGTCGTCGTCGTCGTCGTCGTCGTCATCCTCGACCTTCCTCCTTCACCAGTAGAGGAGAGGAGAGGAGAGGAGAGGAGAGGAGAGGAGAGGAGAGGAGGAGGATGTGGGAGAGGAAGGAGAAGGAGGAGTAGGAGGGTTCGAAGGGCTGCGCTCATTCAAAGCAGCCCGTGTCAACTGCACTTGGCGGTCGTCAGCCCCGCCCCCCACCGAGCGAGTAGTTAGCACAGGCCTCCCAAGGAGTAGTTGGCGCCAGCTGGGTTAGACCCATTCTGCAACGCCTGATAAGGCCTTTTCTTCAGGCCTGTAGTTTGGGCGCTAGCAGATACCACAGTTTCCTGTTGGTGCTAACTACTCCTTGGGAGACTCGTGCTAACTATTTGTTGGCGATGAATCGTGATGATTGTGATGGTGATGATGGTGCTGTTTTTTCCATGATGATGATGATGATGATGATGATGATGATGATGATGATGATGATGCTGATGATGATGCTGATGCTGATGCTGATGCTGATGCTGATGCTGATGCTGATGCTGATGCTGATGATGATGATGATGATGATGATGATGATGATGATGATGATGCGAATGAGGATGTCAATTTCTGAAAACCCCTTCGTCTGCACCACAACCATCTCAACCCCGAGGCAGATGATAATGATAATGATACTGATAATGAGAACGATAACGACGATGATGATGAAGAGGAAGAGGAGGGGAAGGAGGAGGAGGAGGAGGAGGAGAAGAACGGGCGCGGAATAGGCCGTGTCGCCGCTCGCAGGAGAAGGGGGAGGAGGAGGTCCGTAGCCGTGCTTCTTTTCATTGCGTTCTATGATAGAGGGTCGAAGATGTTCTCAGTCAGGGCACGCTCGCGCCCGAACGAAACAAATGGTTTTGTGTATATATGTGAATCGATACGGCCCCCCCCCGGCCCCGTGTCCCAAACCTCCCCGTGACATCTCGGGGACGCTCCCGGTACCGCTCCCCCGACCTTTCAAGGGAGCTTCCACAGCGCCCCAGGAGGACCCAAGACGCCTCCCAGGAGCCCCCAGACTGCAAAAGGATTGTGCAAGACGCTCCCAAGCAGCCCAAGTCAGCCTTCCGACGGCTCTCGAGGCTCCCAGGTGGCCTCCAAGAGACCCCAAGAGAGGTCCAAGAGGCGTCCCAGGACGGCCCGAAGAGGTCAAAATCGTAGATTTTCGTTGTTTTTGTTGCAATGTTTTTGGCTTCTCGCTTTTCCGATCTTCCAATGGTCCAAGAGCGCCGAAGAGGCTCCCAAGACCGCCCCAAGACCACCCAAGAGACCCTCAGGACGGCCCCAAGACGGGCCAAGAAGGCTCCAAGACTGCCGAAGAGGCACCCAGGACAGCCCCAGACCACCCCAGAACAGGCCCAAGATGGGCCCAAGAGCGGGAGCAGGAGGGTTCCAGAGACCTCCGAGAGGCCTCCGGGACCACCCAGAAGCCCCCAACACACCCCCGATCCCTGAGAGGCCCGAAAAGACCCCGACGAGGCTCCAAGAACAGCCCAAGAGATCTCCGAGAGCCGTCCCGAGAGAGCCCAAAGAGGGTAAAATCGTTGATTTCCAATGGTTTTTCACATGTTTTTCGCCTTCTCACGTTTTCCCGCTACCAACCCTCAACTATCGATAATTTTGAGAGAGAAAAAAAAGAAATCCAATAATACAATTTTTTTCCAAAGTGGAACTCCTACTCGGGGGTCCTACACATCCCCTGACATCTGGCCGGTACCGCGCCTCCCGGCTTCTTGGGGAGACCCCAAGACGCCGAAGGACAGCCCATGACGACCCCAAGAAGCTCCCAGAACGTAAAAAACGGCCCAAGACGCTCCCAAGCAGTCCAGAACTAGGGGGCCACATGCGAACCCTACCCCTACCCCCCACGATTTCTGAGGGGGAGGGTGGGGTTCACTTCGCTCGGGAGCTCCCAGACGAAGTGAACCCCACCCTCCCCCTCAGAAATCGTGGGGGGTAGGGGTAGGGTTCGCGTGTGGCCCGAACACCCCGTGGACGGCTCTCCACGCTCCCAGGAGGCCTCCAAAAGGCCCTAAGAGAGAGGTCTGAGAGGCGTCCCGGGAAAGCCCGAAGAGGCCCAAATCGTCGAATTTGATTATTTGTTCGATGTTTTTGGCCTTCTCGCGTTTTCGAGCTTCCAACGGTCCAAGACCGCCCAAAAGATTCCCAGGACGGGTCCAAGACGGGCCAAGAAACCCCCAATATTGCCGAAGAGGCGCCCAGTACCGTGCGGGGAGCTCCCAAAACGCTCCAGGACGCCCCAAGACAGCCCCAAGAACCCTTCAGAATGCAAAAAAAACAACCGAATATGCTTTCAAGCAGTCCAAAATGGGGTCTGTGGACGGCTCTCCAGGCTCCCAGAAGGCCTCCAGACGCCTCCAAGACTGCAAGAGAACTCCGAGAGCCGTCCCGAGAGAGCCCAAAGAGGGTAAAATCGTTGATTTCCAACTGTTTTTCTAATGTTTTTCGCCTTCTCACGTTTTCCCGCTACCAACCCTCGAAGATCGAGGATTATTTGAGCCAAAAATTCAAGAATCCTCTCTTTCTTCAAAGTTGACCCCTCCCTTTTGTTTCCAAAGTGGAACTCCTACTCGGGGGTCCTACACATCCCCTGACATCTGGCTGGTACCGCGCCTCCCGGCTTCCCGGGGGGCCCCCAAGACGCCCAAGGACAGCCCAAGACGGCCCCAAGGAGCCCCAAGAACGTAAAAAACGGCCCAAGACGCTCCCGTGCAGCCCGAGACACCCTTCCGACGGCTCTCCAGGCCTCCGAGAGGCAGGCCTCCACAACCCTGGAGGGGCCCGGCTAACAAAACCCGCAGGGCTCAAATAAAAAACAGCGCCGAACAGCGCCGAGTAATTGGAAAAACATGGAAATCCCACACTTCCTTCCTCTCTCTTCAAGTTTGGCCCCCGGTATACTCTTGCACAACAGGCCACAATTCAGACCCCCCTCACCTCCCGAAAAAGAACTCTGGAAGCCCTTGAGGGCCCCAAATCGTTGAATGCCTGAAAGGAAATTAACGATTTCTGCGTTTCCGCATTTCCCCTTCTATACGATTCCGAGGCTTGCGCAGGGCCTCCAAGGGAGTCCCTGGACGCAAGAAGCGACCAACACGATATTACATGAGGTAGCCTATCAAGCCTAGCTAGAACTTGAGCGCGCGCGAAGCGCGCGCGCGATGGTTCTAGTGTATATATACATATAATGAATAGATGCACGTGTGTGTGTGTGTGTGTTTGTTTGGCAGGATCTGCCGGCTTTCACGCCAGCATGCGCGCACGCATGGTCCTGAGCAATCTCTCCACAGTCGGGGAAGCGCAAGACTCGAGCTTACCGTGATATGATGGCAGTTGGACCTCGCGCCATTTGTTCTCTAAATCCGAGCCTTTCAAACGCTAGTTTCACGCCTCCCCGAGGTGGGCGCATGGAGCGCATCCCACACACGACAGTCTCTTGGCAGGGCGTGGCCAGGGCTTGTACGGTTTCGTTGTTCGAAATTCCATGTGATTGGGGCGGCGAGAAGTTGCAATCTCTAGACGCCAACTGGGGACTGCATTCATTTGAAGGGGAGCATGGTTTATTTGCGCGTCGGGATCTACGCGGCTGACTGGAGCACGCAGGATTGCAACTTGCGTCAGTAGTGGCCGCATTTCCGTCAATTTTGCCAGAAGTCCCCGCAGTTTTCACGCCGTCAGAAATTCGAAGCTCATGTAGTCCACATGGTTGAACGCCGCAGAGACCAGTATATTTGATGGTTGTATGAGCGATGCTTTCTATCAATGTTGAACATTCCTTCGTCCTGGGTGTCCCGTATTTCAAACGCATCGGTACTTCAGAGGGCTGGTGGTCAATTTTGGTCAGGCGCCTGTAGCAGAAACATGTGCATCTCTGCGGGCAGGTCGCCCGATCACTTGCCGTAGAAGTTTTCCGTGGTTGTGCATTCATCCTGGACTCGGCCATCCCAGCCTCGCAGAAGTATTTCAGGCGCCGTGGGTGTCTGCGCAATGTGTGGGCGACCACAGTACAGAGGAAAGCAGTCCGTGCTCATCCGAGGTCTGACTTTGTGCGCGATCCGCGCTTGTGTAGGCATTGTCCTGCACAGCGCTGTCAGCATCCTCGAGCCTTTGGCGCATGATTCGGGCGGGCGGCATCGCCCGAGCGTCGCGGCGACTCGCATGGGGTACGACCACTGCCCGCCTGGGGGACCCTCCTCGCCCTGCTCGGAGGACTGCCCGCTCGGTGAAGCCAGGGGGAGAACCGGGAAGGCGAGGAGGAGGACGAGGGCGAGGGAGAAAGGGAGAACGGGAGAGGACGAGGGAGAAAGGGGAGGACGAGGAGGAGGACGAGGGCGAGGACGAAGGCGAGGACGAGCAGCTCGTCGTCGTCGTCCTCCTCTTCTTCTCCCTCCTCCTCCTCCTCCTCCTCCTCCTCCTTCTCCTCCTCCTCCCACCCGCAGGGGCAAGGTGCTTGAGCCAACGTATCTGCAGCGGCAAGGGCGGAGAAGAATGGGGAGAGCCATGCAGGGAGTTGGAACCATAATGGCTGCACCAGCAAGGGCGGAGGCGAGGATGAGCTTTAGGGGTGGAGCAGGCCGCAGGTATTGGGAGCCAACACAGCTGCCACGGCAAGGGCGGCGGAAGAGGATGACGAGGCGGAGGAGGATGAGGAGGAGGAGGAGGACGAGCTGGAGGGAGCCAGAGGCAAGAGGTTGGGGCTCAAAAGCTGATGCTGCAAGGGCGGATGAGGAGGGGGATCGGTGGGATTGTGGTTATGGTTATTTTCTTGATCGTGCGGAGTGCGCGGTTGACTCTTCGAGCTGACGTTGGTCGGGGCAGACACGGCCGCACACATGCATGCCATCATGCTCGGTACGTAGGGGGAGTCGGCAGGGTGGAAAAGAGGGGGAATTTGGACGGGACATGAAGAAGGAGATAGGAGGGTGGAAGAGATGAGGAAGGACGGACGTTCCAGCAGCGGGCGGAAGGAGAGGACGGACACACGAGCAGTCACCAAGGACCAGTTGCCAGGTTTGATGAACAGGGTTCCAGCAAGTGCGCAGAAGTGTGTTGGTGCATTTGTTGGTGCGCCAGCCCGTATCCTTTCGCTCCTCCCCATCCCCTCCTGATCGCCCTTTTCTCTCTCCTCCCTCCGCTTCTCGTCCTCATCATCGTACCTTCTCCCTCCTCCAGCTCCCCCTGCCTCTCCTCATCCCCTGACCCGCCCTCGTCATTTCGCTCTTCCTCCTCCTCCTCCTCCTCCTCCTACATGCCTGCATTATCCCTCCTCCTGCCCCCCCCCTCCCCTCATGCTCATCCTTCTGCCTCGCGCGAGCCTCCTCTTATCCTCCTCCCTCTTCCTCTTCGTCCTCCCCCCTCCTGCTCTTAGGAGCTTCGCTCTCCTCGGAGGTCTCGTCGAAGTGTGCTCGTCTGACACCCAAGCGCCAGCGAGGAGTGCCGACGACGAGCCCCTTTTCCAGAGCGTGAAGCGGGACACGCGCGTCATCAATGTCGCCCTAGGCGCGGGCGTTCTTGAAGAGCCCTTCCTCCACTGAATCGTGATGCCACTTCTGTGGTCCCTGCTTGCCAGATCCTTTGAGGTCGCGGGGCGCCCTCCGATCTCATAGCGCCCAGTACGAGCGTTCAGTTGCTCCCCCTTCTCATTCCCTCCCCCTACCTCCTCCCTCCCTCCCTCCCGCCTCTTCTGCGAGTCGTGATGCCACTTCAGTGGGCCATGCGGGCCAGACGAATTGAGATCGCCGAGAGCCATCCTGTTCCGGAGCGCTCTGTGCGAGCGTCCATTTGCCCCCCTCCTCCTGTCCTCCTACCATCTTCAGCCACGGGCAGAGGGGGTAGGGGGAGGGGGGGGAGCTTAGAGCGTATTTCTTTATTGCTTGGGGCATGACGGGCGTCATGGCTCCGGCACCCCCCTCCCCCCCCCCTATGACGTAACGCTCCCCCCTGGTGCCCTCCGGGCACTGCCGCCGTGCGCATCGAGATCCGCATTGGTGTCCGCATAGGAGTCTGGTCCGCTGTCGTCATCGTCGTCGTCGTCGTCGTCGTCGCTCGTCGCTCGTCGCTCGTCGTCGTCGTCGTCGTCGTCGTCGTCGTCGCTCGTCGCTCATCGCTCGTCGCTCGTCGCTCATCATCGTCGTGCGCGCGGACGCGGTTGGAGCCTGTTTGTTTATTCTAGGCCGATGGCGGCAATCATCTGGGGGGTGGGTGCAGGGGGCCGATGACATCACGTTTCGCGCCAGCGGCGTTTGGGAATGCGTAGGAATGACCGAGGACGGGTAGCAGCAGCATGGAAATGGCGATCTGCACTACAGCGCCTGTGTACACCACAGTGCCTGCGTGCACCACGGCGCCTGTGTACACCACACCGCTTATGTACACCACAGCAACCATGTACAACACAGCGCCAGTGTATGCCATAGTGCCTGCGGGCACCACACCGCTTGTGTATACCACAGCGCCTGCGTACACCACATCAGCCGTGTACAGCACAGCACCAGTGTACACCACAATCCCTGCGCGCAGTACAGCGCCTGTGTGCACCACGGCGCCTGTGTGCACCACAGCAACCGCGTGCAGCAGAGCACCACAATTGCATATAGAAGTTTAGAAGGAATCCTCATGACAAAGTAGAGCCCCTGTGGATTCCACAAAACAATTGGTTATATAGGATTGGAAAGGAATCCTTATGGAAAAAGGAGCGCCGCTGGAGTCTATGAGTCCTCCCGAGTCCGCCCGCATCATCCTAACTCCTCCCACCTGCGTCCACGAGGCTCCTGCAAAATTGGCCGTCCGAGAACCAAGTGGACTGATTCAATCGACCATCCTGCGGTGCACGCAGGGATGCGTACGTGCGCTGCAGCGCCGACCCGCACGAAGGGAGGAAGGGTGAGGGAGGAGGAAGAGGAAGAGGAGAAGGAGGAGGAGGTGGAGGATGATGATGTGGAGGTGGAGGAGGAGGAGGAGGGAGGAGGGAATAACGTCGCATTATATTATCAGCACTTCCCTGGCGTGCCGTTTAGCTGTCCGCAGCAGACCCTCACCTACATGCTCCTTCTACTTATCTTGTGCACGCAGGCACCTGTGGTGTACACCAGCGTTGCGTTGCACGCGGATGCTGTGGTGTAGACAGGCGCCGTGGTGTGCACAGGCGCTGCGGTGTACGCCAGCATTGTGGTGTACGCAGGCGCTGTGTTGCACATGGTTGCTGCGGTGTACACATTCGCTGTGGTGTACACCAGCGCTGTGGTGCATGCAAGCATTGTGTTGTAGACAGGTGCTGCGTTGCACACGGCTGTTGCGGGGTACGCGGGCGCTGTGGTGTACACGCGCTGTGGTGCACGCGAGCACTGTGGTGTACACAGGCGCTGTGGGGCAGATGCCACCTACACGCTGCTCGCGTCGTCGTCTTCGTCGTCGTCGCTCGTCGCTCGTCGCTCGTCGCTGATCGTCGTCGTGCGCGCGGGCGCGGCTGTGGTGCCGGAGTCACACGGCGGGGAGGGGTTACGTCATACCCCCCCTTCGCCCCGCCCCCCATGACCCCCGTCATCGCCGAAAACTCGCCAGCCCAACGGGCCAAAGGCGTGCTAAGATCTCCGGCTACTGGATAACAACATTTCTAGTTCGCGCGCGCGGGGCCGCCCCTGGGGTCCCTTGACGAAAAGTACCCCTGCAAGTCCTGGCCAAGTCCTGGCCAGGTCCGGGCCAGGTCCCGGGCAGGTCCCGGGCAGGTCCCAGCAGGCTCTCAAGAGCGTTCCAGGAGCGCTTCAAGTGGCCCCCAAGAGAGCTAGTTCAACACGGTCCGAGACGGTCCAAGAGCGATCCGAGACGCCAGATATTGCCTCCAGACAGCCCGAAGCGCCTGAAAGACGCCCCAATAGGCCGACAAAAGACCTCCCAAGAGGGCTTACAGAGGGAGTTAGTGATTCTCCTTAGGTTTATGACGGCTTTTGGCGTTCTTGCCTTTTCGGCTTACCGGCGCTCCAAGACGGCCCAAGAGGCTTCCAAGACCGCCCCAAGACGGCCCACGAAGCCTCCAAGAGGGCCCCGAGACGGCCCAAGATGGCCCCGAGACAGCCCAAGAGGCGCCCAAAAGAGCCCCAAAACGGCCCCAAGAGGAGCCCAAGAAGGGTACCAGGAACTGAAAATCCAGCCCTTTGCCCCAAGAGGCCCCCAGGAAGCCCCAAGAGGCCCCTAAGAGGCCCCAAGAGGCCTCTTATGAAGGTTACATCGCAAGGACTCCAACGGACTCTTTAGCTGTAGCCCCTTAGAGGAAACCTTCCGGAATGATTCTTTATACATGATTGGTGAATAAAGATTATTTAGCAAGGATTTCGCCGTAATGAATCTCTCGTGAGGGTTCTTTATCAAGGATTCGTTTAGACGGATGATGCAATGTAGAACGGATGCCTTCGTGAGGATTCCTTGCGAGCGACTCCCTTCCAAGGGTTATTCAAGAAGGTTTTTGTTGGATCATGATTTTTATAATGAGTTCGTCGATACGGACTGTGTACGGACGGCTCTTCAATAGCAGCTCGTAACTAACTTGTCCTTATACTGGGTTCCTCATGGGAGATTCTGCAGCGAGCGCAATTTCCCCAGGAGTTCTCACTAAGGAATCCTTGCGATGAATTCCGCATGCGTCCCTCCTTCGGAAGAGTTCCGCATTAAAAAATGTGTCCGCTTAGAGTTCCTTAGTAATGATTATATGTTACAGATTCTTCACGGAAGGTTCGAGTGTAGTAGTTCCATGTCGACGGATTCCTTAAGGCAGGTTCTTCGGACAAAAAAAGCTTCCGTAGTAATGATCCCCGAGCTGCGGTTTATCACTAAGGACTCCTCCGTAAGGGCGAATTGCAATGATTCTGTACTCGGGATATTATTATTATAATCAGTAGTATCACTACCATTATTATTATGATTAGTGTTTCTATTACTAGTAGCATCATCATTATTATTCGTATTATCATTATTATTATGATTATTATTATTAGTATTAGTACGACTAGTATTCGAATTATTACTAATATTAGTATAAATAGTATTCTTACTACTATTATTATTACTAGCCTTATGGCTAGTATTATCAATATTACTATTATTACTATTGTTGTCATCATCATCATTATTATTATTATTATTTCTCGGAAGCTCGGGGTCGCAGACCCATCGTTTTGGATTTCGAAAGAACGTTGTCTCGGCAGCTCAGACACTGTTTTTTAAGGGTCCCTTCTTACTGATATCTTATGAGGGACCTCTTCGGCAAGGACTCTGCATGTAGGCCCCTTCAGTAATGACTATTGAGTAAGGGGCCTTTGCCATTTCTAAAAGATTCCCCAAAGAGTGAATGCACTTAGGGTTTTTTACTCGGCTTGCGCATCTCGGGATGAGTGGCGTCTTTTGCGGGCGGTGCCGCCCGTCGCCGCCGTCGCCGTCGCCGTCGAAGCCGCTCGGGGCGAGTGGCGGCTTTTGCGGGCGGCGCCGCCCGCCGCCGCCGTCGCCGTCGCCGCCGCTCGGGGCGACTGGCGGTTTTTGCGGGCGGTAACGCCCGTCGCCGCCGTCGCCGTTGCGTAGATTTTCGTTTTTTCCCCAAAAAGAATAATTCGATTCTGCCCCTCCCCCAGGATTACATATGATTCTGCCGGGTGTCCAAACATGTTTTTCACTGTGTACAACCTGGTTTCGCAACATCAGTTTTTGTTTAAAGCCTGCGCTCGCGACCAATCTCCAATACATAACACTTCCCAAGAAGACTTCACCGAGGAATCCTTAGTAAGGAATCCTTCCTGGATGATCCAAAATTTCAGCACAACCAGTCAACGCATAATCCTTTATCGAAGATTCTTTTTAGATGGGTTCACTCATAAAGGGACAATTCTTGAAGAGCCCTCCGTACAGGAACCTGACCGAAGAAATCCTCAACGCTGGACCCTCTTTCACGAATCTTGTTGGGTAGTTTTTAATATGGATCCCTTATCTAGACATCCTTGTTGAGGAACCCTGATTCAGGATCCCTTACTGCGAAACCAGTGCTCCTGAATCCTTACTCAGCAATCCTGCTACAAGTCCTCACTGTGTAATCCTTATCAAGAAGTCATTGCTGATCGACCTCCAATTCACAACACGTTCCAATGGATATCGATTGTGGAGTCATTATAAGGATTCCTTCCTGGATGTTCCCGAATACAGGCCAAGTTTCATTGTATACTATTGACGACGAATCCTTTTAGACAGAGTCTTTTACTACATATGGCCATTGCCAAAGAACCCTCCATGCAGAAACTGACCGAAGAAATCCTCAATCAAGGATCCGCCCTCAGGGATCCTTGTTGGTGAACCCTGAATATGGAATCGTGAGCAAGGAGTCCTGACTCAGGAGCCCTTACTTAGGAATCCGTCTTTAAAAACCGTTGGTGACGAATCTTTGCGATTCAATCCTTCCTGCGGAATCCTTACAGGGGGATCTTTCTGAAGGATACATTATTCAGGAACCTTTAGTAAAGAGTTCTCACGGTGTAACAGGTACTCAGGAGTCCGCACTGAAGAACCTCTACGGCATGATAATTTCTGCTTGTGGAGCCTTAACTAAGCAAGCATAAGTGAACAACCAGGAACCAACCTTTTATTCCATAATCCTTGACGGTGAGTCTTTTCAATGCCCAGCAAGCTCGCCAGCCGAGGTTTCGAAATCTGTTAAACCATATTTCGTGAGAGACCGGCCCCTCACACCATCAAACCAAACATTAAAACCAAACACATAAGACCGTGCTTTCTGACATCTTCCGAAACCGAGGTCGCTCCCAGAAGTTCTCCCGACATCATAGTTGGTTGGTTGTCCTGCGATTCCCGATTGAGGGCTGCTGGAGCGCAGCTGAGACCGCAAGTGGAAGCCTCCAAAGACCTCCAGCGCAAAAACACCCAAACCACCCAGGCCCTTCTACGGTCTCCAGCCCCTCCTCCTCCTCCTCCTCCTCCTCCTCCTCCTCCTCTTCCTCTTCCTCACCTATTGTTCCTTCACTCCTCGGTTCCTCCTCCTCACCCCTCATCCCCCCTCCTGTGCCTTCCATCCTCCTCCTCCTCCTCCTCCTTCCCTTCTCTTCCTTCCCTCCTCTTTCCCTCTTCCATCTCTCCTCTGTCCCTCCTCCTCCTGCTCCTCTTCCTCCTCTCCCTTCGTTCCCTTCTCCCCCTCTCACCCGTTCACTCTCCTTCCACTTCCCCTTCCCCCACCTTTGCCCGCTTTCTCCCCTTCCCCCCTTGCCCTTCCTCCTCCCGATCAATAGAGACGGCGCCTGCCGCCCAAGCGGCGGCGGCGTTGGTGTCCGCCAGGCGCCAAGCGCGACTTCGGCGTGGGCCCGAGGGTGCCTCGCCTAGCGTGCGCCGAGCCGCCGCCGCCGTCGTCGTGCCCCGCGGGAGCGCGCGCGGGAGGAAAAGATGCGAGAGGCGAAGAAGGAGGAGGGAAGAGGAGGAGGAGGAGGAAGAAGAGGAGGAGGAGGAGGAGGACGTGCAGTGGAGGGAGAGGATGAGGGGGAGGAGGGGGAGGAGGAGGAGGAGGAGGAGGAGGAGGAGGAGGCGGAGGAGGAGGAGGAGGCGGAGGAGGAGGAGGAGGAGGAGGAAGAGAAAAGGAGGTGGAGGAGGAGGAGGAGGAGGAGATGGAGGAGGAGGAGGAGGAGGACCAGTGTAAGCCCAAGGCCCATCAACGATGTTGCTACAATCCTCCCTCCAAGCCTCCTCTTCAAAGGTCCCTACAAATATGGATTTTCACGGAGGGAAGTGCCCCGTTGGCAGACAAGCGGCCGAACATCTTGAGCCGTGCCAGGGCACCATTCCTGAGACTTCAACGCCGCGAATCAAAGTTACCGTTGCATCCTGATAATCCTGGCTCGTCCAGAATGCCCATCCGGGAATTTCAACACGGCGAATACATAGTTGTTGCTCCTTGGCAGTCCTACATTGTGTCACAACGCCGTTGCTGGGACATCAGCCATACAAAACACTGAAACTGATGTAAGCTCTTAAGACGACTGCTCGCGGCGCTAAACCGAGAGGCACCTGTTCAGAAAGGTACGGCCCTCCATCCGTAAAGTGTTTGCGAACTTTTAGGACGAATGTGCGCGGCGCTACGGCGGGAGCCACACTTTGAGAACCAGCCGCCTTCCATCCCTGAAACTCCTGCGATTGTTTCAGACGAACGTGCGGCGCTAAGGCGAGAGCCACATTTTGAAAGCGGGCCGCCCTCTATCCGTGAAGCTGTTGAAGCTGTTGCAACTTCTCTGTTTGAAGATCGCAAAGCGCGAGGAAGTCTCAGGCGAAACGCTCGGCCCGCCCTACCGACACGCCTGAGGGTGCAACAGGGAGGAGTTAATCAGAAAGAGGAGGAGGAGGAGGAGGAGGAGGGAGGAGGAGGAGGAGGAGATTTTCTGGAGACCTCCTCCCTCCCTCGTTCCTCCTCCCCCTTCCTCTTCTCCACTCCCTTGGGAGCGCTTCGCGGACCAGCTCGGACTCCCGCATCGGCCTCTGGCAGAAACAGCGAAATTTGGATTGGCTGCTGTTTGTTTCTGTGTCTGTGGACTGGTGTGCTTTTCTTTCTTTCTTTTGAGTGGAATGTTTGGTGGATTTGGTGTGTTTTTGTTATTGTATGTATTGTTTTTTGTTTAGGTGGTACTTGTTTTTTGTGGATTGAACGTGTGGCTTGGCTTCTTGTGGGGTTGGGATTATTTGCTGAGGCTTCCTTTTTTGCTTGTACATGTGTTTTTGGTGGTAGTTTCCTTTTAATCTGGTTGGGTTTTGTGTTTTTTTGGATCTCTGTGACTTGGAACACGAGCAGGAGCAGGAGCAGGAGCAGAAGCAGGAGCAGAAGCAGGAGCAGGAGCAGGAGCACGCGCGAGTCTGAGGGCGGGGATTCCCACCCTCGCCCCCGCAGAAGAATCGACGGGGATGAGGAAGGGGAGGAAGGAGGAAGGCTCCCTTTCCCCCCCCTCCCCCTCCTTCCTTCCCCTTCCCTCCCTCCATCCTCCCTCCCCGTCAGGAAGGCCGTGGGCCTCAGGAGGGCTCTCCCCGGGCCCGAGACGAGGCCGCGGCCGTCGTCGTCCTCCTCCTCCTCCTCCTCCTCCTCCTCCTCCTCCTCGCGAAAGGCCTCCGCCCCCCCCCCCTGGGCCCGGCCCCGCCCGAGGCGCCCTGGTGCAGGCACCTGGAGGCGCCCGGCGGCGCCCCGCGGCGCCGCCGGGAGCTGGCGCCGGCGAAAGATTCGGCGACCAGCTTCGAGGCCGGCGGAGGGGCGGAATCGTGACGTTACAGTGGGGGCCCATGCCAAGAAACACCTTGCTTGCCTTCAGGGTGCACTGGATTTCCTAGGTGTCGATGGTTTTGCTAGGGAAAGCGTGACGTTCCCGTACCAAAAATCAGTGGAAGTCCTGGGGTCTCAGGGTTGGGTTTCTTGTGGAAGGTTTCGTGTGGTCGGGCTCCTACTGTGCCTGGTGGAGGGGGGGGGGGGGGAAAGGGCGGCAGGGGCCAGTCACGGCCGTTGTCACGAGCAAAGACACGCTATCCCGGCGATGCGACGTGTCGAGCCCGGCGATCTCGACTCGGGCTTCCAGGGCCCGTGGTCGGGCCTCTGGGGCCACCCGAGGTGGATCCAGGAGTCGGGGAGCTGCCCCCCGGGGACGGAGGCGGGGCCCATAGGGCCGCGCATGGGAGAGAGACACGTCGTCGGATGTCAGGGCCTGGGCGAAGGGCGCAGCGGGGAGGCGACCAGCTTCGAGGCCAGGCGGAGGGGCGAGGGGCAGGTTGGGCTATGCAGGGTTGAACGGGCCTCGGCGTCAGCGGTCCGAGAGAAGAGTGACTGCGGCTATAGGTGCCACCCGTGCTCACAGGCCTACGTATCCTGGGCGACCACGTCTGGCATGAGTCACAAATGTCTTCCTTTGCGGGGGGGTCGACCTTCCCGCATACGGCTCAGACGCCCAGCCATAGGGAGGGGTGGGGGGGTGTAGATGAGGATGAGGAAGGGGGATGATCGAGAAGGAATGGGCTCATCTTTTTCATTCCCCCTTTCTCCCCTCCCTCCTCGTTTTTATTCCTCATCTTCCTCATTGATCCCCTGTCCCCCTGCCTTCTTCCCTTCCCCCCCCCTGCTTCCTCCCCTCCACTCTCCCCCTCCCCCTCGTCATCTTCTTCAGCATTCAGATCATCAGGCAAGGCACAGGCAGGCGGCGTTTGCCCCCCCCTGCCCGCCTCCCCCCTTTCCAGCCGGCAGGTCAAGCATGGTGACTTTGTCACCATGGAAGGGCTCTTCCAGAAGCACTTCGTGCACGCCCTCTCGAGGGAAGTGCCCGACGACGGGGAGGCTCGACTGCCCGTTGCCCCCCGCTGCTGCTGCCGCTGCTGCCGCCGCAGCTGCTCCCCACCCCCTCTCCTTCCCCGCCGCCCCTCTTCGCCCTTCCTCCCTCCTGCCTGTTCCTCCTTCGCCTCCACCCCCTCCTTCGACTCGTCCTCCCACTCCCGCCTCCCTCCTCCATCCTCTGTCCTCCGTCCCTCCTCCCTTCCTCCTCCGGCCCCCCCTCCTCCCCTTCCGGCCCGTGCGCGCCCTGCCCCGCCTGCCCGCTGCCTCGCCCGAGGTGCGGGCCACCGCGACCTTCCGGTGGATCGTGGAGCACGCCAGCACGTGCGCGCTTCACCGGCCCGGCAGCGCGGCGGAGAGCTCGGACTCCGACGGAGCGCGCGCGGCCTCGGAGGCTTCGACGGTCGAGGCTTTCTGGTGTCCCTGCTCCGCGTCTGCTCCTGCTCCTCGAGAAGTCGCTTCTACGGAAGATTGGGGAGGGCGGGAAGAGGTGCGTGGAAGGGTCGGGGGGAGGAGCGGGCAGGGTGAGGATAAGGATGCAAGGATGGCATGGAAGGCAAGGGAGGAAGAGTGTGGATGGGCAGGGGGGAGGAAGGGGGCCGATGATGGTGATGATGAGGAGGAGGAGGAGGACGAGGAGGTGGAGGATGACAGGGGGGCAGCAGGAAGAGGTTGTGGAGCCCTGTGCTCAGCTGGAGCCATCGGCTACGTCAGGAGGGGAGTGAGAGAGGAGAAGGAGGAGGTCGGGAGGAGAAGGGGGAGGAGGATCAGAAAGAGGAGAAGGATAAGAAGGAAGACCAGTGTGAACCCAAGACTCGTCAACGATACTGCAGTAAACCATCCCTCCAAGATCCCTCTTCATTGGCCCCTGCAATATTGATTTCCACTGAAGGAAGTGCCCCGTTGGAAAACAACCGTTTTAAAATCCTGAGCTGTGCCAGAACACCATTCCTGGGACTCCAGCGCTGCGGACCACCGTAACTACTGCGTCTTGCCGATCCTTAATCGTGCCAGAACGCAGTCCCTGGGACTTCAATCCACGGATCTGCGTAATCGTTGCGCCCTGACAGTCCGACATCGTGCCACAACATTAGTTCTGGGACGTAGACCATGGGAATATTTAAACATAGTTTAAACTGCTGCCATCTCTGAAAACGAGTGTGCGCGGCGCCAAGGCGATAGCCACGAAGTGAAAAAGAACCACCCTCCTCCGTGAAGCTCGTGCACGTGTTTTAACGACGAGTGTGCGCGGCGCCACGGCGAGAACCACTGTTTGAAAAGGAGCGCCCTCCATTCGTGAAGCTCTTGCATTTGTTGTAAGACTGTGCGCGGCGCTAAGGCAAGAGTCGCATATTGAAAACGACCTGTCCTCCATCCGAGAAGCTCTTGAAATTCTTTCAGACGGATGTGCGTGGCGCGAAGGCGAGAGCCACACTTTGTAAACAAGTCGCCCTCCATCCGCAAAACTCTTTGCAGTTGTTTCAAGATGGATGTGCGCGGCGCGAAGGTGAGAGCCACACTTTGTAAACAAGCCGCCCTCCATCCGTGAAGCTCTTTCAAATGTTTAAGACGGATGTGCGCGGAGCTAAGGCGAGAGCCACATTTTGAAAACGACCCGCCCTACATCCGGGAAGCTCTTGCAAATTCTGAGCGTCAGGATCATGAATGGTGAGGAAGTCTGAGACAAAACGACCAGCCCGCCCTTTCGAGCGGCCTCGGGGTGCGACAGGGAGGAGATCGCCCCCGTGACTCATCCCTCAACCCCCCAACCCCCCGACCGGATTTCTTTTCTTCTTTCCGCGGGGGGTCAACCTTCGCGGCGACCCGTTAAACCCGGGACCCCTGGCGGCGCATGGATTTCTTTCCTTCTTCCCCGCGCGCGTTGCCGTTGGAACCCCTGAACCCCTCCGACTACCGTACAACTCGTACTTGAGTACAACTGGTACTATCATGTCCTATCGCGCAGTTGTTCCTAGAGAGCACGTTGTCCTGCCGTGCAAATATTCGAGTGCAGCTGGTATCATATTACAGCTGGTAAAATTGTGCCCCCTAGAACAACGCCCTATCGCCAATCCCCAGTACTAGTACAACTCCATGGTACAACTCCCGAGCACAACTCCCCCGTACAATTCCAATATATTGCGTTTCCAATATACTGGGTTCCCAATATATAAGCCCGAACCCGAACCCAAACCTCACCGGCTGTAATTCAGTTGTTCCCGTACTAATACAAATCCCTAGTGCAACCGCGATTAAGGTGTTGTTGCATTGCACTTACAGTCTCGGCTCTCACGCTTTTCTTCCTCTGGTTGCGCTTGGGGGGGTGGGACCCCTCGCGCGGGCACCCCCGCGGCTGGGAGTTCATTCCTCTTCCGGAATTTGAGGGGGGGGTAACCCCCGTGCTCGAACCCCATCGCCAGGGTTTTTTTCTTTCCTCCGCGGAAACCGGACCCCCTGGGTTCTTCGGCGCGCCCCATTTTTTTTTCTTTCCGGTTGAGCCTCCATGGGTCTTAGGTTGGAGTCACCCGGGTGATGGGAGGAGTTATGTATAAGGACAGGGAATGGGGGAAGAGAAGCACGAGGAGGATACGGAGCAGAAGGAGCAGGAGGAGGAAGAGGAGGAGGAGGAGGAGGGGCAGAAGGAGCAAGATAAGAGGATGGCGGGGCAGTAGGGGGAGAGGGGGGACGACGAGGGAGGGCCTAGGACGAGGAGGGGAGGGGGTTGTTGGAGCCAGGCGGTACGATGGAGTGAGGACATGGGGGGCGAGTGAAGGGCGACAAGGGGGACGAGACGGGAGCAGCGGGCGTGGCGCCAGCGGGCCGCCGCACACCCCCGCCCAGGAGAGGCGTCGAGCGCCAGCAACGAGTTCGCCTCTTGCTCCTCGCACGCCAGCGGCGCGCGGGAGGGGCACGAGCTCAGGAGCACCGCGGCGATGACGCCGACGGGGGCGACGACGGCGGCGAGAGCTACAAGCCCGAAGACGACGACGAGAGTGACGTCGGCGGCGAACGACGACCGACGACGACCGACGACGACGACGACGGACGATCTTGACGGCGGTGTCGTCAGCGATGACGGCGACGCTGATGAGGAAGAGGACGACCAGCACGACGACGCCGACGACGGAACCGCCGATGACGACGACAACGCCGACAACGACGACGTCCAAAGCGACGAACGGCGAACGAAGAACGACGGACGGCGAACGGCGAACGGCGGGCGACGGCCCGCGGCAGCGGCACCGTGAGCGACGGGGCCCGCAGCGGCGCCAGGAGCACCGCGAGCGGCGGCGCCGCCGGCTCCGACGCTGCGGGCGCGCTGGGCGGCGGACCCTGCGACCTCCGACTAGGCCCGGCTCTCACCGTCATCGTCGCCGTTGGCGTCGTCTTCGTCGTCGCCGTCGTGGTCGTCGTCGTCGTCATCCTCGTCCTTGTCGTCGACCTTCTCGTCGTCGTCATCGCTTTCGCTGCCGTCGTCGTCGTCTTATCTGTCGTCGTCGTGGTCATCGTTTTCGTCTTCATCGTTATCGTCGTCTTCGTCGTCGTCGTTGTCGTTTTCATCTGCCTTCTCCTCCCGCTTCCTCCTCCTTCTCGGGACGACCACGGGACAACCCACGGGAGAACACGCCGGACAACGCACGGGACAATCCACTAGATAACCCACGGGACAGTCCGCGGGACAACCACACGGCAACCGACGGGACAATTCACAGGACAACCTCGCTGGCCTCCGCCAGTCGCACGGCAGAATTTGTGTGCCCGACTTGGTTTTAAGCTGTGGCCGAAACATGGTCCGTCTTGCGCAGATTCGCCCCGCTCGCACGCGCAAAACGATCCGAAGCCGAAACCGATTTCCTGGTTGGGGTCGCCAACCTCGGACAGGTGCCGGGCGCGCCTTTCCGTGTGGAGTTCCCAAGCTCGACATTCCTCACAGCTCCACAGGCGGAGCTCCACAGGCGGAGGGCGCTTTTCTCTTCAAAGTTGCGCTTTCGTTGGCTCCATGCAAATGGCTCTACCAGCTACACACACACGGATGGAGGGCGATTCCTTGCGGAGCTCTTTGTCGGTGGTGCGCCGAGGGGGGCAATTGAGAGGGGGAAGGTCTTCTCAGAAGGAGGCGGGGTTTCTCACAAGCCTTTCGGCCTCCTGCGAATCTTCGTGCGTCTTCGGAGAAGGCTTAGACAGCTCATCAGAGGGCAGGAGGCCTTCTTCATGGCGAACCGCCCTTATCAGCCCCCCCAAAAATGTGCATCATAAAAACATATGTGACCGAACACGTGCCTCAAGTGGTTACCGAACACGTAGTGCGGTTGAAATTGCAACCGAAATTGAATATCGTCTTGGCTTCGAACCAAACATGTCTGTCACACCCAGGCGCGGTCGGAAAGTGTCTGGCAACAGTTTCGCCCATACCCGAGCGGATTTTCAGGCACCGCCCTCTCTGCCTCTGCCTTCTCTCCTGGGCGCGCCGCCGGCTCTGTGACCTGTCAGGCGACACGCGTTTGCTCCACGCCGGCCGCTCGCTGCAGGCCCGGTGCACCCGCGGTGCCTGCGGCGAGCACGCCACCAGCCCAGCGGCAGTCGTCGGCGGGGGCGAGGGCGCATCAGGCAGGCTCAAGAACGGGATCAATCTAAGCCGGAGTGGGCGCAATAGTATCTGCAGTAGTTTATGCATGCGTGCAATAGTTCGCGGTCTTGACGCGATAGCGATAGCTGCGCGTGGACACAATCGTGTATTCCGCCATGCAATATTTTACGTCCCACGCTATACTTCGTGCTCCCGGCGATAGTTTGCTCAAGAGTTCGCGCAATGATTTCCGCAAGCGAACTTTTGCACCTCCCACCGCCCCCTTATCGGCATCGCCCCCATCGCTCCAGTCTAAAATAATATGTTCCTGAGCGCAGCTGCTCCAGAGCGTTCCGAAACGCTCAGACAGCGCTCCTGTAGGCTCCAGAGAAGGCCGCGGCGCCCGACATATCCTCCAGAGCCGCCAGACTTCACAGAGATTCCCGATGTATGCCGATCCGATGTTGTCCCGTTCTTGGTTGAGTTTTTGGCTAAACGTATCGAGCCGATTCTGCTTCGCCAAAACACATTCCAGATCGTCTGCTATGTTGTTTAGCACACCGGCTGGATTCTGACCTGGCGGAGTCTTGCTCTGATGTCGCCGTGGGATGATTATATGTTCTACCCTTCGACTTTGGCGCGCGCTTATTCGGGGCGGAAGCCCGGCTCGGTTTGGGGGGCCCTCGGATCCCTTTGGGGCCTCTCCCGCTCGTTCTCTTGCCTTCCCTGTCCCGTCCTCTCGAGGATCGAGGATGAGGATTTGATTTGTTGTCTGATCGCCCGCAGCATTTTTGGGCTGCGAGCGGGGTTGTATGAAAATGGGTGGGACTGCGCGCGCGCGTGGCGCGCCCTCTCATCCTCTCCTTCGCCGTCTCGTCGTCTATTGCTAACGGTAGTTGCTCTAACTAGCAAGGAATTCGGCCGCCTCAGGTGAGCCGAGGCTTGTTATACTACGGGGTCGTTTGGTTCGACGGCCATGCTACCACCAAATCCTGGTTATCAGCCGAAGCAGCGCAAGCGCTGCAACTGGCGCGAAGCGCCTTTCCTTCAATGACAAATTCACAGGTGGGCTAGAAGCAAACCCTGGACCCATCATCTCCAACGAGTCCTTGGGTTCGGAGACGTCGAGACCAGTAGTTGCGCAACCGCAGCCAATCTTGCGAAGGCAATTCGCGCCAATGGACCGCGCTTCGGGCAAGGGCCAACGCCTACTGCGACGAGCTTGAGCAGGCCATGCCGGACCACCTCCGCGCCCTGCAGCAGCGGTCTCTGGCCCAGGAGGAACGGGGGGGGCGGCGCTGGCGCCGGAGAGGCGCGCCCCGGCCATTCTTGCTCGCGCGACCAAACGCTGCGGCCGACAGCCATGCTGGCACGCAGTTTCCTGGAGAACTCGGTATTCTCTCGCGGTGCAGCCCGAGGCCCCCCCGTCGGCAATCTGGGTTCAGCGTCGCCTCGCCCAACTATGGCACGACGCGGAAAATGCGCGAGCATGGGCTCGGAAGGACTACGCACCATCCAAGAAACAGTGGCCACGGTTAAGGTTGCTTTCAATTTCGATTCCGAGGCTGGATGGAACATCGAGCTTATCACCGCACTCGCGGTGTCCTGCGCGTTGAAGAAGCCATTTGAGGAGTGTGCCTTCTTCGGTATTGCCGTTCGACAGGATGGCCCCTCGTCCGCCGCGGTCGCGCCCGGCGAAGTCGAGCGCCTCCTGAAATCCAGAGGTCAGGCTGGATCGCATTCGAAGACGCATCCTTCAGTGACGAGCCAGATCTTCTTGTTCGAGATGGCGATGCACGCGCCCGCATTGATCCTTGGCGGTCTCGGCGTCGTCGCGGAGGAGTCGCGCGCCCTGCGGCGCCGGCGGCGCGGCGGCAGCCCCCGCGATCCGCCCCGCGGGCGCGCCCTCGCGCAGGGGGCGCGACCGCAGCCCGCTGCTCGAGAGCGCCAGGGGCAGAGGCGCGTCGACGCGCGTTGGATCGCGCCGCCCTATGGCGTCGCCTTTTGCTGGCCTGGGCTCGCCATGTCGCGTCGCCTCAACGCGTCGCGCCCTGCGCTCGCCATATCGCGTCGCCTTCTGCTTGCAGGGGCCAGCGCTTGCGATTCGCGGCGCGCCGGCGATCGAGTTCTGCCTGCAGGCGCCCGCGCGGCAGATTTGCAGGCGGGGCGCGCCTCCATCGCCGCCCGCGGGCGAGTGCCTGGCGCGTCGCAGCGAGTCGGCGCAGAGCCATTCCTTGAAATAACATGAGCGGGGCGCCCTGGCAGCGATCGCGGAGCCAGGGGGGGTAGCCGGGGCGGGTAATATCACGGAGGGCGTCACGCGCAGAACGCCCCCTAGCGCTCGAGGCCGGGCCCCAGTGGCGCCCGCGCCGCCGCGCGCGAAGCGCGTCGCGGCCCGCCCGCCAAGCATCGCTCCACAGGTGTCCTGCGCCAGTCGGGGGGCGTCGACTTCAGCTGGCCGTTTCGCCCAAGTCACAGTCGCCCGACGCATGCGCCTGCAGCGGCGCCTGGAGGCGTTTCGACGAATGCAGGCGCATGGGCCTCAGAATGTCAGGGCGTGGAACAACCGGTGCAACTCGCTTTACCGCTTCTTCATCGGTGAACGGCGTCTCCGTCGCGCTTTTCTCCCACGAGATATGCCGAGCGACGCGGGGCGCGCCGCAATCGCTGACCAGCTGGGCGACGCATGGCAACGCTTCACGGCCAGAGCGGAACGATGGCAGATGGCCGGCGCAGTTCAAGCCCCCGGGGCTTCTCGCCAGTTCGCCCATGTGGCCGGCCAGGATCAGTCGCCGCCTCATTTTGCGGGTACTGCCCCAGGGGGGGGCCCTCCGGAATGCGCCGCGCCCATTCCGGTCATCGATGAGAAGGTGGCTCCCTGGGACCACGAAGCGTGCGGGGGATGCGCCGAAATTGGTGCGGGACCGCATGCGAGCTGCGCCGCTGGGACTTCGGTGGAGCTCCCTGTAGGGGCACGAAACGTGGGGGGAGTGTGCCGAAATTGCGCGGGGCCGCCTGCGGGCTGCGCCATTGGGACCTTCGGTGGAGCTCCCTGCGGGGGCGCGAGACGCGTGAGGGGCGCGCCGCAAGTGTGCGGACCGCGCGCGGGCTGCGCCATTGGGCCTTGAGTGATCCCTATGGGGCCACGCAACGTGCGAGAGGAATGCTGACATGAATGGCGGGGCGCATGCGGACGGCAGCAGTTGGACCTTGGGTGGGTCTTCCTCTGGGGCCGCGAAGCGTGTGAGCGGCGTGCCGAATATGTGCGGGGCCGCCCGCGGGCTACGCCGCTGGGCTTTGGGCGGGGTTCCCTTTGGGGCCACAAAACGTTTGAGGGGAATGCCGACATGAATGGCGAGGGCGCATGCGGACGGCAGCAGTTGGGCCTTGTGTGGATCTCCCCATGGGGCCGCGAAGCGTGTGAGGGGTGTGCCGAAGTCTGTGGCGGGGGGCATGTGGGCGGCAGCGTTTGAGCCTTGGGTGGGGCTCATTGTGGGGCGCCGAAACGTGTTAGGGGTGTGCCGACATGGGCGGCGCGGGCGCATGTGGGCGGCACCGTGCGGGCCTCGGGTGGATCTCTCTATGGGGCCACGAGACGTGCGAGGGGTGTGCCGAAATGGGCGGCGCGAGCGCATGCGGACGGCACCATTTGAGCTTTGGGTGGGGCCCTCTTATCGGGCCACGAACCGCATGCGGGATGTGCCGAAATGCGCGGTGGGGACGCATGCTGGCGGTGCCATTCGGGCGTTGGGTGGAGCCCGCTATGGGGCCACGAAGCGCACGAGGGGAGTGCCGAAATGAGCGGCGGGGATGCGTGCGGGCTGCGCCACTGGGCCTTGAGTGGAGCTCCCTATGGGGCCACATGACATGCGAGGGGCGTGTGACGAAATAGGTGGCGGTGACGCATGCGGAGGGCAACAGTTGGGCCTCGGGTGGAACTCCTTGTGGGGCCACGAAACTTATGAGGGGTGTGCCACAATGAACGGCGGGGGCGTATGCGGGTTGCGCCATTGCCTTGGGTGGAGCTCCCTATGGGGCCACGAAGCGTGTGCGCGGTGTGCCGAAGCGTCTGGCTGGGGACGCATGCGGGCGGCACCATTTGAGCCTTGGGCGGGGCCCCTCATGGGGCCACGAAGCGTGTGATGTTTGTGCCGAAATGTGTGGTGGGGACGCATGCGGATGGCATCAGTTGGTCGTTGGATGGGGCTCCCTATGAGGCCACGAAACGTGTGAGGGGTTTGGCGGGGACGCACACGGGCGGCACCATTTGAGCTTTGGGTGGGAGGGGTGTGCCGAAATTGGCTGCGGGGGCGCATGCGGGCTACACAATTCGGACCTTGGGTGGAACGCTCCCTATGGGGCCACGAAGCGTGTGAGGGGAATGGCGAAATGGGCAGCGGGGGCGCGTGCGGGCGGTACCATTTGGGCCTGGGGTGGGGCTCCTTGTGGGGCAACGAAACGTGTGACGGGTGTGCCGGAATGGGTGGCGGGGGCGCGTTCGGACGGCACCATTTGGGCATCGGGTGGAACCCCAATTATACGGTTTCGAGACGTGTGAGGGGTTTACATACATGAGTGGCGGGGACGCATGCGGGCGGCACCTGTGGGCCCTGGGCGGAGCCCCTGATGGGGCCACGAAGCGTGAGAGGGGTGTGCCGAAATATACATGCGGATGGCAGAGACAAGGATAGGATGAGGGATGCTAGGGGAGCAGGGGCGAGGAGGAGAAGGAGGCACGGGGATTGTCTCTTCAAAGCGAGGACCCAGCACCATAGGATGGTTTGGAATAAAACGTTTCACGGATGTAAAGCGGCTCCTTTTCAAAATGCGGTTCTCGCCTTAGCACCGCGCGCATCCGTCTTAAGAGCCGACAGCCGTTTCATGGATTACCATGGTTAACGTCCCAGAAATTGTGCTTTGGCACGATATCGGATTTGTCAGGGCGCAACAATAGCTTTCTGGCACGATTTCGGATCGTTAAGGCGCAATGGTCAGGGTGATTCGCAGTGAGTATTGGAGAGTCCTGACGGCCGGTGCCGCCGACCCTGATCGAAAGGGCTTGGAGTGGGGGGAGGAAGCGGGGGATGAGGAGGAGGAGGAGGAGGAGGAGGAGGAGGAGGAGGAGGAGGAAATGGAGGAGGAGGAGGAGGAGGAGGAGGAGAGGAGGGGGAGGAGGAGGAGGAGGAGGAGGAGGAGGAGGAGGAGGAGGAGGAGGAGGAGGAGGAGGAGGAGGAGGAGGAGGAGGAGGAGGAGGAGGGGAGGAGGAGGAGGGGGAGGAGAGGGAGGAGGAGGAGGAGGAGGAGGGGAGGAGGAGGAGCAGGAGGAGGAGCAGGAGGAGGAGGAGGAGAAGGAGGAGGAGAAGGAGGAGGAGGAGGAGGAGGAGGAGAAGAGGAGGAGGAGGAGGAAGTGCATCCTTTGTGTGCCCGCTCGAAGAAAGTGCGCCCCGGGAGTGTGATATTCTGACTTGGGACGTGCTCCCGGAAGAGGAAGAAGTGCATCTCGGGCGTGCCCGCTCGAGGAAAATGCGCCCTAGGGGGGTGGTATTTTGACTCGGGGCCCGCTCCCGGGACGCCTCTGCGAGGAGGAGGAGGAGGAGGAGGAGGAGGAGGAGGAGGAGAAGGAGGAGAGGAGCAGGAGGAGGAGGAGGAGGAGGAGGAGGAGGAAAAGGAGGAGGAGGAGGACCAGGAGGAGGAGGAAGTGCATCCCGTGCGTGCCCGCTCGAGGAAAGTGCGCCCCGGCGGGCGTCGTATCTGCCCCGGCCCCCCCCCCCCCCTGCGGGGAAGGGATCAAAGGGAAGGGGCTTCCCTTCGACTCCACTACGACGTCGTTTAATTTCGCTTTGGATAGCGCGCTTGAGGAGGAGAGCCCTGGGAGGGGGAGAACGGAGACGACGGAGACGACCAGTCGAACGGAGAAGCCTCTCACACACGCCGACAGGGCCGGCGGATTTGTAGGAAATGTGTTCTGGCGCAGTTCAGGATGTTCAAACGACTCTTTTCCAACGGCGCCTTTTCTCAGTGAGTGAATTCTTGTAGGAGCCTGTGAAGAGGGAACTTGGAGGGAGGGTTGATGGCAATATCGTTGGTGAGTCTTGGGCTTACACTGGTTCTTCTCCTCCTCCTCCTCCTCCTCCTTCTCCTCTTCCTCCTCCTCCCTCACCTCCTCGCCCCCCTTTCCCTCCGCCCCTCATGCCTCTTGCGCCTCCCGCGACGTCCAATGTTTCCGCCTGCACCGCCACCGCGGCTGCCAGGCGAGCTGCTAGGCGGGCGGGCTGCCAGTTGCTCATTGTCCTCATCCTCCTCAGTAATCGCCTTGTTTGTACTCCTGCTGATGCTTCTCTTCCTGCTCTGACGCTGAGAGCAAGTGCTACATGTCCCAGCGATGCTAGCCAATACTAGGAACGTGCAGAGGCTATGACACGCAGAGCATGTAGGGTGCGGTACGCGTAGCTCCTCGGAACGATGACCAAGTAAAGCAAAACCCAGCTAGCCTCATGTTTGCCTCGCCGCCCTCTTTTTCCACCGTACCGCCTAGACTTGCGACAGGCGTTGCACCCTGGCCTCCTGTGTCAGCGTAGCTTGCCCGCAGGATCAGCGTCGGCACAGCAGGTCTCGCATGATCAGAGCTTGTGGCGTCTCCAGGGGGGGTGTTTCGTTTACCCAGCACCACCTGAGGGATCACGCCATCGCGGGACGGTGGCCGCGGGTGGCTAGGCGCCAAGGGCCATGGGTGTTAGCTTCGCACCGGTTCGTTTGGTGCTTTGTGATTTTTGTTGTCGCCATTCTGTGCATTCCTGCGCATTTGCCCTTCGCCCTAATTCCGTTCCATTTTCCCATGAATCATGGCGCAAGGATTTGGTTTTTGATCCTCGCCCTCCCCTTCCTCCCTCAGCGCAGTTCGATGGTCGTGCATATGCGATCATTCATGGCGCATTGAGCGCACCATCTGTGCATCACATTGTTTTGGCTGCCGCACAGAATGTCGTTCTCAATTGGGCAGCGTTTGGGTCGCTGCTTCGGCCTGGGCTGCCGCCCGATGGACAGTGCCTTTGGGTCGCTGCTTCGGCCTGGGCGGCACAGGGCTGAAGACTGCAGCATTGGCGTTCAGCCCTCTCGATTAGGGTTGCGGATCTGCTTCGCCATCTCTTTTCACTTGGGCGCGTGATGCGAATGGCACGAGCGCGCGTTAACAGACTCAACATCGAAACATGGGCATGCTGCGACGGAGAGGGATTCTCTATTGTCCTGCACACTTTACTTTTTTGGTGTGGCGTCTGCGCGCTCCGAGGCCGTGGCCGCACCAAACGGAAGAAGTCTGGCGCGAGGACCTCCCCCCGCTCCAGGCGGACGAGTTTGGATGACCAGTGGGCTACCATGAGCAGGGGCGGGATGCTGCTGCTGATGATGATGGTGATGGTGATGGTGATGATTATGATGCTGATGATGATGCTGATGATGGTGATGATGCTGCTGATGATGATGCAGATGCTGATAATAATGATGCTGCTGATGATGATGCTGCTGCTGATGATGATAATCTTCAGACTCATGAGCAGGATCGTGTTGATGTTGGGGAGGAGGAAATGAAAGAAGAAGAGAGCGAGATGGCGGCTTTGCGATTGGTGCTCTGGATGTTGTACCGTTCAGCATTTCGTGCTGCTTCATCACGTCTGATATCCTTGCATCAACGATGGGGGGTAGCTTCACGGCGCTCTGTCCGCAATCTCGGAATCACGAAAGACAGCGATGAAAAGTAGTAGCATACGCAGGAGCAGCAGCAAAGCATGTTGCGGGAGCGGGAGCAAGAGAGGAAGCAGGAAGGGGGGGGCGCGAGAGGCTGGCAGACGAACGAGGGCAGCTTTCTGTAAGCAGAGACTGGGGGGGCTGGGTGGGACCTATTGGCCTCCAGTCTTCGTAGGAAAGGCTGTCACGGATACCTTCGCGATAGATCACTTCCGTGGTTCGATTTCTCGCATCGGCAGAACATTTTGTGCGAGCATGGCGATCGAATTGCAGGTAATGATGATGATTATGGTGTTGATGATGACGATGGCCATGGCAAGCATACGAGTTAGATGTCGGCGATGGTGAACCGCAATGTGTTGACGCAGGGGGTGATTGAGGATTATGCAGATGAGGAGTAGCAAGCTGATAATGCGAACCCAGATGATGGCACAAACGTGGTGGTGATGCTGATGCTACTGATGATTATGATGCTGATGATGTGGATAATGAGGATGATGAGGATGATGAGGATGATGATGGCGATGACGATGACGATGATGATGAGGAGGAGGATGAGGATGAGTATGAGGATGATGACGATAATGATGATGATGAGGAGGAGGAGGAGGAGGAGGACGATGACGAGGATGAGGATGAGGATGCGGATAAGTGAGGATGAGGATGATGATGATGCTGCTGATGATGACGATGATGATGATGATGATGATGATGATGATGATGATGATGATGATGATGATGATGATGATGATGATGGTGATGGTGACGATGACGAGGCTGGCGATGGTTCCCGTGATGATGGATGCTGACGATGATGATGAGGAGGATGATAATGAGGATGATTATGACGGCTGCTTTGCGTGCCGTCTAGTTGTTCCCTTCTCTTCTCTCTCTCTTCTCCTCCTCCTCGCCTCGTGACTGTACGGGTTTCACTCGTGATATTGGCTGGAGCCGCTTCAGGATGCCGTTGTGCTCGCCTGCGGGGCAGGTGAACCGCGCTTCTTAATACAGCTTCTGGGTTTCATTTGGCATGCAGTTCCCTGGTCTCCCGTCCCCCTGCTGCTGCGCGCCGCTTGCCGTGCTCTCCTCCCTTTCGGCTCTGCTGCCTCCTCTTTCGCTCCTCGCTTTCCTGCCTCTCTCCCTGCTGCTCTTTTCTCCTCCTCTTTCCTCCCTGCCGCTTGCTTCCCTCTCTCTGCTGGTGCTGCTGCTGTCCATGTGACCTGCTGTCTTTGTAAAAACCTCTCGGGGTTCTAGCTCCATGGAGTGGAGGTGCAGTCCTTGCCGACTGGGCCTTCCACTTTCCGACGATTCGTGGGGGTTGGTGTTCGCTGCGTGAGGGGGAAAAATGATGAGGATCAGGATCAGGATCAGGATCAGGACGAGGATGAGGATGAGGATGAGGATGATGATGATGATGATGATGATGATGATGATGATGATGATGATGATGATGATGATGATGATGATGATGATAATGATGATGATGATGATGATGATGATGATGATGATGATGATGATGATGATGATGATGATGATGATGATGATGATGATGATTGCGATGATGGAGACGATGGCGAGGCTGGCGATGGTTCCCGTGATGATGATGATGCTGGCGATGATGATGACGACGACCATGCTGTTTGCCGAGAGGCTGGAGCATCACCGCATTCCGCTCATCGCCAGAAACTGCCCTCGCACACCTCGCCCGAACCGACTCGCCCCAGGGTTACATTGCCAACCCGACTTTCGCATCATGCAGGTTGCAGCCCGCGATGTCAGAGACCAACGCCGGGGTCGTCACGACATGAACTTGCCGTACGCAATTCAGCGAGGCCGGCGCCGCCACGTCGAGCCTCCAAGAGGGGCGGCACCGACAGCAGGTCGAGACGACGCCCTCGAGGTTCGGCCAGTGGACCCGGCCGCGTCCTGGCGGTTTGGGCGTATCGTCCGCCCGCTTTGGGTCGCACCACCGCTGCCACTGGCACTCTTGCTGCCAGCCTGCCTGCGCCTATCGCCCCACTTGGAACCCATATGAGGCGCTCCAGAAAGGGCCTCGCCTTCCAGGGTCGAAGGAGTTGCCATCTCTCCTCGGCGAAAGGCGGAGAACAGCGGCGGAAACAAAACGAGGCCGCCTCCGTTAGCGGAAGGCGGCAGAAGTAAAAGTCGCCCCCCCAAGAGATGTCAATATTTTTTTGTTATGGTGTTCCGGAACCTGCCATAAGTCCTGAGCGTTCTCGTGTTTCTTCGTCCTTCATTTACTTCCCGAAGCCCCAGCTCGGAGGTGGGATTGCGGCTGCCGCTCCACTTGGATCTCATGTCCCTGTGACTTCTCGTGTTTCTTTGTCCTTCCTGGCTTTCTTGGGAAGCCAGCTGGGCGGATGGATTCGGCAGATGGGTTGCGGCTGGCGCTCCCTCTCAGCCAGTCTGTGATCGCAGCGCGCACGCCCTGCATTTACTTCGATCTCTGCCCTCTAACCGGCTTGCTCTGGGTCAATCTGCCGATTTTTGAGCAGGGGCGCGATCCTTCCCGAGTCCAAATCAGTCAAATCCAGCCAGTCCACGTGGACGCTCTTCACATGGTTCTTGTCCTTGCCCCTCTTGCTCTTCTTGCCTTGTCTTCAATTGCAAAGGCCTTACGGCCGGTGCCGCCGACCCTGAAGGCGTGACCTCCCCTGGGACCCTCGCTGGCGATCCCGCTCGGGGCCCGCTGGGACCCCGAGGGGGCGGCGTTCTGACCCAGGACCCACCCCGTCCCCCCCCCCCCCCAGCAGGGAAGGGATGAAAGGAAGGGGGCTGCCCTCAACTTAACTACGATGCTCCTTTTCCTTGTTCCCCAATTTCCGTGGGACTGACGATGGCGACGGCGACGACGACGACAGCCTCCCCCACACGCCGAAGGTTCGGCTGATCTAGTTCCCCAGTCTTCGAGCCACCAGGGGCACCCCCGCCACGACGGCACCACCGAGCCCAGCTCCACGAGGCCTCCGCCAGGTGCGCTGGTGGGCTCGCGTGCGAGCAGGCTTCGCTCGACTCGGGCCGGACGAAAGGGTAGGATAGGGAAAGGGGGGCTGCATGCAGTTGGTTTCGACCACGCCGCCGGGCCCATTCCTGGATATATGGGCGCGATCGGCGCGAGGAAAAATAGCTGCGTGAGCTGATTCCCTTCCCTGCCCTTTGCTATCCTACCCTTTTCGTACCCCCTGATCAACGCCTCTGGGCTTGCCTGGTGTGCATAAGCAGATCGGGCTCGACGACTGCAGTGATTTGCACGGAAAGGGTCCGAGTAGTCATCACGGCAGCCCTGGGCGTTCAAAGAGCTCTTTGTCCCTGTCTCCCGTTCTGAAGCCTATTCTGGGGCTCGGCTTGAGTCCACCAAGGACGATAAATCAGCGCTATACTGAACTGCACCTGGCGTGTGAGAAAAATCCGGATTCAAAGAAGGCTCGCCTCGAAAGCCGTCGGCGCTGTCAGGGCTGGTGTGGCCAGGGTTTTTGAGGTGTTCGATCATGGGCCCCTTGTTGAACGCAACCATGCAGCTTTCGCGCTAAACAGCGGTGGAACCGCCAAAGATCGCCAGAAGCCGCTGAAGACCGTCAGAAGACCGCCGAAGACCGCCGAAAACCGCCCGAAGACCGCCGAAACCACCGAAGACGGCCCAGGAGCGATGGGTAGCAAGGGCCCCATGCTCGAGCACGTAAGGTTCTCGAGGCCCGCGGTCCGCGCCAGCGCTGGGGTTGGAGATCTCTAACGACCTCCAGGCCCGCGGCATCGAGCTCGGGCTTTCGCAGCGGGTCACCAGTCTTTTCTTGGCAGCACAGAAACCCCGCGATTATGAGACTTGCCAGCTTCCCAGGTGATGGGAAGGGAACTCCAGCATGATAGAACACGCCGAGAAACAGGTTCAACAATGTGTGAGTCAGGCCGCAGACCGAGCGGGCAGCAAACCGAGTGGACAGCGACCGCAGCGTCTCCCCTCCGCGCGGCGCGAGCGCGGCAGCACTGTCTGTGGCGACGCACGCTGCCGCGCCACGCCAGCGCCTGCAGTGCCCTCGGCCACGACTCTGCCGCCGCCGCCGCCTGATGGCGCCTCCTGCGGGCAGCGGCGACCCTAAGTAGTGCGCAGAAAAGGGGTGGCGCGAGGGATGGCGGCCTTCTGAGAAGGCAGGGGGCTTCTCGGCAGGCGTGGGCCTTCTACAAGGGCATGAGGACTTCCAAGAAGGCCCCCGAAGAAGCCGGGCCTATAAGAGGCCCACCGACCCCCCCAGGCCTTTTCGAATGCCGCGCGCCACTCCCTCTTTCTCTCGCCGCCAAGATGTGCGACCTCCTGGCGCTCGTGCCCCGTATGGCCCGCGGGCCGCGATCTCAGCAGCTTCTGGACCTTCGAAAATTCGCCCGAGCCGCCAGCTCCGCGTGGACTGGGCGGGTCGGCGCGCCATGTCCCCCGTCGGGGGCCGTGCTCTGGGGCTTCCCTCCTGCTGGCGGTGGGCTGTTGGGCACCGTCCGGCCGGGGAACACGCCCGAGCGCCGACCTGTGCAGATTCTAGGGGGTCCGTAGAGAATGGTCATCCCAAGGTGGGGTCAGGGAGCGAGCCGGGCTGGATGCTCAAATGCTCTCTTTTCTTCTCTCTGCCCGCGCGCGTCGTGGTCGTCTGCAGCTGCTTCGGCCCTGAATCCTCGCGTGGCATCCCCCGGCGGGCGCTTTATGCAGGCGCTTGCCCAGGTCGCCATCGAGGGTGCGGGGGCGGTGCTCTTTCAAGGTTTGCGGGCCGCGCTCTACGAGCGGCTCGCAGGCCAACCCATGGCACCTCTTGCGGACTACGCCGGCTCCTCCGCGGGGTCCGCGTGGTCCGCCCAGGCCGACCTGCAGGTGCGGCCTGTCCCGCCGTCTGCCTGGGGCTGGCGGTGGACCTGAGCAGCGGGGTGACCCTTCTGCTGCTCTCGACGGTGGTTGCCTTGCTGGTGACCACCGCCGCCTGCAGCCTCTGCCGAGGCTGTTGCGTCGGGGTTCTGGTGTCCCGCTGGCGGGGTGGTCCAGGCTCCTTCGCACACCGGCGGCGATCGCAGCCCCTGGTGGGCTCGGTCGCGGCTCGCAGCGCGTCCTGGCATGCGGTCCTGGCGCGCAGGCTGAGGAGCGACGCGGACCTGGGCACGAGGCTCAGTCGTTGTGCCCCATCGCGGCTGAGCGCGGATGGCGACTTGTGCCCCTCCAGCCTGCCAGCTGCCATGGCGGACGACGCTTCGGCGTCGGGGGGACTCGCCGACGCCCCCAACAGCGTCGCGCTACGACCGCAGGCGGCTGGGCGAGGGCGAGGTGAGCGCTCGGTCCAACTTCCCAGTCTGTCGGAGGCGGAGGGGTTCAGCGGGTTGATTGGCTCTTTCCAGATGGTCAGCTTGCCCTTGCTCGGCGCGACGTCGCGCCCGCTGAGCACGACCGCGTCAGTGCCGGTGGTCGATTTCGAGACCTCCGAGCCAGAGCTGGAGGCTCTCGCCTCTCTCGACGAGGGAGAAGTCGACGGAGCTGTCCCGTTTGGATTCGCCCGTGGCCGCGCGCGTTGGCCGCGCCCTGCGGGGGTCGTCGGCCCTCGCGACAGCCGCGCGGCGATCCACGGCGCCACGCCGCTGGGCGGAGAGGGCGCCCCTTGGCCAGGAGAGAGCAACGCCCTATACCACTCTGCGGGCGAGGGGGAAGACGACGCCGACGCCGAAGGGCGCCCTCCCCTGCCCGTGCTAGCGGCGCCGCTGCGGGCGGCACTTCCCCCTCCGCCGCGGACCCGTCTCGGCGCTCAGCCGAAGCCTCGGGCAAGCAAGGCCCGCCCCCGTGCGGGGGGAGCGATCGCCGCAGCTCTGGGCGAGGGCGCGCCCATGATCCGCGCAGGGGTCCAGCTGGAGGCCCAGCGGCTGATGGCCGCGAATGAGGCCCAGTTGGCGGCTCCACCCTTGGGGGCGTGCCCGAGCACGCTGGGGGCCCGCGTCGAGGCGCCCCAGCTGTTCGCGGACGAGGCGGCGCGCGCCGGCGCCCCCCAAGAGGGCCTGCAGGCGACTCTGGCGCAGCCCCCGCCCCCGCCGCAGCGCGCCCAGAACCGCGCCCCGACGCCCGCGTCGGCGTTGGCGACGGCGCGGAAAAGAGAGCGCCTATGAGCGCGGGTCTGCCTCTTCCGCCGCCTTTGGCGCCGCCGCCGCCCCCTGCCCCCCCGGGCCTAGCTGCGCCCGACGGGGTCAGCGACTGCGTCGGGGGAGCCGCCGCGGGAGACGGGCCTCGCCCAAGCAGCGCCCCAGAATCCGTTTTGGAACTGGCGTTGCTGCGTCTGTGGTAGCCCCTGGAGCAGTTGGGGCAGCCGCCCGGCCGCGCTGGCCGCGGCCCCCGCCCGGCGACCCCTCGCTAGCGCGGAGCGGGAGGGTGCTCTCTCTTATTCTCTCTGCCCGCCCGCGTCGTGGTCGTCTGTAGCTGCTTCGGCCGCCGCCCTGTTTCCTTCCTCTGCCTCTCCTTCCTCATCCGAGGTCAGCGCCTCTGACCGTGCCCTTCGGCGCGCAGGGGGTCATCTCCCTTGAGCTGCGCCGCGCGGCCCCGCGCGCGCCGGCCGAGTCCTCCGCCCGACGACCCCTTGCTAGCGCAGAGCGGGGGTATTTTCTTTTTCCAGGAGCCGTTTAGAGCGATTTCCCTCACAACCCCACCTCTGCCCCGACCCCGCCTTTCCGCCCCCCTTGGGTTTCGCCCCCGCTCACGGTGCAGGATCAGGAGGGCGTCGCCGCCCGAGCAGCAGTCGCGACCTGGACGCGGCCCGATCGGTGATTCGTCGCGTGCGAGAGGGCTGCGTCGACGGCCACCCTGACTCGGCGGCGCGCCCAGGGGGATGCAGAATGGGCGGGCCTTCTGAAAAGCAAGTTCAGAAGGCCTCTGGACTCCTCAGCTTTCTTCTAAGCCTTCTCCGGAGACAAAGACGCCTTCTCAGGAGGCCAGGGGGCCCCAGGGGGCTTCTGAGAAACCCCGCCGCCTTCTGAGAAGGCCTGCCCCCTCTCGCATGTCTTCTTCGGCGCGCCGCCAACTCGCGCAGTGGGTGCTTGCACCATTAACGACACCATGGCGTGGCCAGCTGGAGACGGGTGGTGCCATCCTGCCTGCATGAGACTGCTCGCGAGACAAAGGATTAGGTACTTCTTGGACGTGATGAACAAAATGGCTACCCAGGGTGGACGGCCGGCTGCCCCGGCCCCCCCGCTTCGCTTCCATGCCCGCCCACCCGAGCGAAACGGGGGACAGAGGGTAAGTCTCCGCCCCTACTCTCGCCGCCCCCTCGCGGGTACCGTGCGGGGCTGGCCGGCGCTCCAGGGAGATCCCGAGGGAATTGTTAAAGTTTGTAGGTAGGTTTACTCATGCCGAGGTCCCCCCCCATCCTGCTTCCTCCGGTCGGGTAGGGCCTTGGGGCCTCCTGGGAAGAGCCAGGCCCGCAAGGGCCGCGCTTCGGTCAGCTCCGAGCTTAGACCAGGTCGGCGGAGTGTCTGGGGGCGGCGGGATTCCTACGAGAATCTCGCGTCTGGGGTCCTGGGAGGTCCGGGGGACCAGCTGTCAGGACCCCCCTCTCCCTGGGTCAGGCGGTTTCGACACCCCGTGGTGGGTGTGATGAAGAGCACGAGCAGGAGGATGATGATATGGAACAGGAGGTGGAGGAAGGAGATGGGGATGTGGATGATGATGGGGATGGGAATGGGGGTGAGGAGGAGAGGAGGAGGAGGAGGAGGAGGAGGAGGAGGAGGAGGAGGAGGAGGAGGAGGCCCTCCTCCTCCACCCTTCCCCTTCGCCCTTCATCTCTTGCTTTTCCTCCTTCCTCTACTCCACGAAAGTCTCGCGGGGGTCCCTGGAGGACTCCAGAAATCCGTGGTGATCTCAGCAGGTCACCCGCAGGCCTTTGGAGATATCAGGAAGCCAGTAGAAGAGGCACACGACGCCCAAAAGCATCATCGATCCTCGAACTTCGACATCTCCCCAGAAGAACGCGTCTAGATCTCGGTCCCCGACGGTATCCTCAAACCTGGAGGCCCAGTATAAGGTAGTGAGGGGCGGGGCCTGTTCTTTTCATGACGCTTTCTTCCTGGGAGTCCAAACAGTGCGGTGACCACACCGCATTGTGAGTCAACGGGGATTCGGGGTCACCGCGCGGGTTTGGGACTCGGGTTGTTCTCCGAGGACGTCTCGGGCGACCGGGTCCTCCGAGATCCCCAAACCGTGCGACGATAGACCGCGCGGTGAGGTCTCTGGGGATTTCGAGGTCACCGCGCGGTCCATCACTACACGGTTTTTGGACCCCCGATTCTTGCACACGTTGTGGGGCAATGCGTGAATATATTTGGACGTGCACATCGTGGGTAGTCATTTTGGCCCCGAAATGTCCCGCAAGAGACGGACTGTTACCGATGCGGACAAGATCTGCATCGACGTGCTTTGATCGTCCGGCTTCATTGTCTTACGATTTGTGTTGTAAAGATAGCGTCTAATGTGGCGTCCCCAGCCCGCTTAGTACACGCGATCCCACACCTTAGGGATAGCGTGCACCGACAAGTCGCTGGCAGGGGGATAGTGTGCACCGACGACGCTCTCGCAGGTGGATAGGGTGAGCAGGAAGGGCCCGCGCGGTGGGATCGCCTCACAGGGATAGCATGCTTTTCGGAGATCGGCGTTGCACGCTATCTTTGTTACGCGAACTGGAACTTGATCGGCATGAAGGACGGACAGTTTTCCATTCGCTTGCATTGGCGTGCCTTCGCGCACGCGCGCGCGGCAGCTCTGGCGCGCTGGTGCGCCAGGAGGGAGGAGGGACGAAGATCGAGGAGCATCAGGATCGAAGGTCGAGGTTCGAGGATCCAGGATCGATCCTCCTCCTCGCCCTCCCCCATGGCTTCCGAGGGCCCCGCCTCGCCACGGCCCGCAGGAAGAAGAAGAAAAAGTACGACGCCGAGGGGAACCTGGG